AGTGTGACAGGTTGGCAGCTGACTGTGCTGTGGATCTCAGAGGTCGGGGGGTGGTGTCGGTCAGCCTGTGGCCAGGAGCAGTCAGGACAGAGCTGGTCATTCAGAACGTGATGGACCCGCAGCCACGGAGTGAGGAGCATCAGAAGGTGAGTTGCTAATTACAGTAGGTAATTAATGAGCACAGTATTTAATAACACAATACTGTAGAGCTGCAGAGGACCAGGAGAGGAAGAGGGGGATGGAGGAGGGGGATGGAGGAGAGGAAGGGGAGGTGTAGGGAGAGGAAGAGGGGGATGGCGGGAGAGGAAGAGGAGGTGTAGGGAGAGGAAGAGGGGGATGGAGGAGAGGAAGAGGAGGTGTAGCGAGAGGAAGAGGGGGATGGAGGACAGGAAGAGGGGGGTGGAGGGAGATGGAGGGAGATGGAGGGACTGGGAGGAGAGGAAGAGGGAGAGGAGGTTATGCTTTTGTGGCCGATGATGAATGAGCACCACCTGCTGGCAGGACCCATGAACTGCAGCTGCTGCAGTCTGGCAGATCTCTCTGAATCCCTCCTCTCTGTCCCTCTGTCCTCTGCTCCTGCCCGTCAGATCAGGGAGGGTTTGTCCACGGGAGAGACCCCAGAGCTCAGCGGGAGGTGTATTGTGGAGCTGGCCAAAGGTACACACTCGTCTCTTTCACTGTCTCTCTGTCTCACTCACTTGTCTCTTACACTGTCTCTCTGTCTCACTGCGCTATACTGACTCTCTGTCTCACTGCTCTCCACTGTCTCACTGCTCTCCACTGTCTCCGTGTCTCACTGCACTGCGCTACTCTGTCCCTCTGTCTCACTGCTCCACACTGTCTCACTGCGCTACAGTCTTTCTGTCTCACTGATATACAGTCTCTCCGTCTCACTGCTCCACACTGTCTCCCTGCTCTACAGTCTCTCCGTCTCCCTGCTCTACAGTCTCCCTGTCTCACTGCGCTACTGCTCTCCACTGTCTCACTGCTCTCCACTGTCTCACTGCTCTCCACTGTCTCACTGCGCTAGACTGTCTCACTGCGCTACACTGTCTCCCTGTCTCACTGTGCTGTTGCCATGTGCTATGTGTCTGCTGCCTCTTGATTCATTTTAATGTTTATTTTCTCTTTTACTTACAGATACAGACCTGATGGCTCTGACAGGGAAGGTTCTGATGACCTCAGATCTTGCAAGGCGCTATAATATTCGGGATGTTGATGGTATGAGTAGGATTATTAATAAGACGCAGAAGACTAGTGTCGTTTCTCTCAGTGTGTCTGTATTATTAACCTCTCTCTCTCTGTGTTTCTCAGGGCGCAGTGTGTTTGACAACATGTCCGTCAGTTTTCTCGTCTCCCAAGTGCCCTACCTCTCCTGGCTGTCCTCTTTCATCCCTTCTTTCCTGCGTCTTCCCAAGTTTGTTCTCACTCTGCTCCACGGACGGTTCTGACCCAG